CGTTCGCGGTTTGCTTGAACTTCTTGTCGTCTTCGTTCTGGTCGCACTTGTGGTTCTGGGTCCCTTGGTCGAGCAACGTCCTGCACTTGACACAGGTCAACTTTCCGCACTCTTCGGCTTCGCAGATGGCATATGTAATTTTCGAATCGGGGTCTTCGACGTGGTTTCCGGGGGGTAGGAACTTCGCGCAAGCTGGATTTGCGCAGTATGTTCGGAATCTGTTCAAGAGTTAGCTTAATTCCCATCTGTTGCTCTCACGTCGAACTGATCAGTTTTTTATTCTTTTAGGACTTACTTTGCCAGGATCGTGTACTCGCCCTGCTGTTTCACCTGGTACGCCCAAGAAACCTCCCAGGGCAGATAGTCCTCATATTCGTCTAACACAAACATAACATCGCAGCACTGCGGCGGGTATAGACTCTCGTTGTTTGTCGCATTCTCGAAAAAGCTCGCGAGATCGTCGGCGCAGACCAAATGGCGGCGGCATGGAGCTTCGATAAGTAGTTCGCTTTCGCTCTCCTCGGTGCCGCAGATTACACAGCTCTTAGACATGATGGCTGATTTGGTTGGAGTATGGTGTGGATTTCTTTCAGTTAAAGAGGGCTGCGAAGGTGATCGTTCGAGCGCCGTGGTAGAGTGGTAGAGTGAGTTCGGTACCGAGCGCGAAATAGTTCAGGCGTGTGGAGATTATGTAGAAACAAGGCAGCACGTGGTGTGCGAGGCGAGTGACTAATTCACAAGGGTAGGGTTTACGTCCAAGTTGAAGTGAATGCCGACAGACTTGGACCCGGCTAGCTAGTCCTGAATGCGGTGTGAAGGAAACCTTGTCCCTCTTCACATGTCCTGATAACGCAACGACCGATCAGTCCGATCGCAGTTAATTACCGTTGATTTGAAGACAGACGGCATCCACAGAATGGCAAAAAAAACCGGTTCCCTTGTTGCTGTATGGTATGATGTACGAGAGAAAGATGACGCGACAAAACTTGCGCAAAAGGGAAGAAACATGTAAGTTGATGAAAGCTAGCTGAAATATCAATAAAACCACAGCAGCTCACTGAGAAGACATAGGAGGGAGGTGCATCCCGATACTAACGCTCGATATGCCCATAGCGGAAAAGCTGCAGGCAGCCATCCGCTGGGCGCAAGGGTCGACTCGCAAAGCCATGTGTGCAGCCTGGCAAAGGCCCACACAGTGCGATGGCTTACTATTCAGGCAGATCCTATATAGGGAATGATGAAGAGTCCGGGGTGGCATCGGGAATGTGTGGTGGATGAAAGGGTCCAGAAGTCGTGACGCGACGTCACGTGGAGCTTTAGCCGGCCTGATCGTGCACGGACGCACACCATCGGATCGAGAGACAGCGATGCCCTTACCTGTCTCCTTCCAATACACGACACATCTACGCCACATCCTGTCTCGCTCAATCGCAACATTTGTTGAGTTGCCGCATCTAAATCAGCCTAAAAGACCCCCTTAGGATCAATCGCTCTGGTCTTTGGTCACATCGCTGAGCGCATTGATGAGTGGAGGGATTTGGGAAAAGTTCATAAGCTCTTGATTTGGGTGAAGCCCAGGATGATAAGTGGTATGTACAAGAATATTAAACTACACGACTCTCCTACGCACGGCACATACGTCCGTCTTTGCTGACGTTCCAGGCCTCACTACCAACACCCTTGAGGATGTAGAGAACATCCTTGGGGTCGTACTTCTTTTTGATGTCCTTCAGCTTGTCATAGTTCTTGCCAAAGAAGGTCTCTTTCCAGTTCGGTTGCTGGAAGTCTGCCTCATTCAGATATGAGCCACTGCCCGGGGTAATGGCTTCAATCTTAGGCATGAGCTCGTTGGTCATCTTCTGCTGAGCTGCCTCCATGGTGGCCCAAGGAGCGGTGGAATCCCAGTTTGTGATAAGTTGCAGCTGAATCATGGCGTCTCTCCATGCGGGGAGTACGCCATTGTCGGCGACTCCAGCGGGCTTCTTGTAGTTTGCTGAGCTACCAGCAAGCAAGACGCCTTCTGCGGCAAGCTCTTGGTAAACCTTGACAAGGTCGGCGGTCTTGTTCTCGACCACAGTTCGGGGAATGAGACGGCCACCAAACTGATATCGGTTGACTTCGTATGCGCCGCGTGGGAGAGGGCCCATGTAGCGATCGAAGTGGTCGCGGTAAGACAGCTCGCTGTAGACGATCGGGGGCGTGATGCCGAGATCTGTAAGAGCTTTGGCATAAGGCGCAAGCACAACGTCCTTGACGTAGGCAGCTGTTGAGTCCCAGACGGTGACGGGCTTGATCACAATGTACTGAGTGCTGACCAAGAAGACGACCATAGCACCAGCGTCGATCATCGCCGGTAAGAGCTCAATCAGCTTGGCGGTTGCTGCTGCGTACTTCTCGGGGGTGGTGGACGAGGCGAGAAGCTGCATAGCAGCACCACCAACCTGCTTGGCCGGGTATGCTCGCACAGTCAATGAGAGGACGATAGCATATGTGCCACCACCACCTCCGCTGAGAGCCCAATAGAGGTCGGCGTTCTCGGTTGCTGAAGCAGTGAGCATCTTACCCTCAGCAGTCACGACCTCGAAGGACAAGGTCTGATCAGCAGCAAGCCCGAACTCAGTGCTGAGCACCGAGTGTCCACCACCTTGGGTAAACCCTCCTGCTAGACCAACAGTAGCGCATTCACCAGACACAACACTCATGCCTTGCTTGTGCACTGCCTCGAGCAACTCGTTGCCCATCACTCCAGCGCCAACAGTGACCGAAGGGCCAGTGTAGTGCTCATCGGACCAGTCGCCGAAGGCGATGTTCTTGAGACTTTGGGTCCAGATAGCTAAAGCGCCGGCTCCGGTAGATCTTCCAAGAAAATCATGCCCAGTGTTGCGCACAACCACACGGATCTTCTGAGCTTTGGCGAACTCAAGAGCAGATACAACATCCTCCGCCTTGGTAGCTTTGACAGAGTACGAAACGTAGTTGCCCAAAGTGCACGGGATGCTCCTATCGGAGAATGGATCGCAGCTCTGATTGGCAAAGTACGACTGCATGATCGAGTGGGAAGATGGGGTGCTGCCAAGAGTATTAGAGTTCTACCCCAACATGTAAACGGAGCTCTTGCACTTACTGTGTCAGCGGGTTGAGCCATGATGACTTCAATGCGTCGCAAGCGTCGGCATCGTATGTCGGGTCGTGACACGGGGAGCCAATTGGGACAGTGGCTACAAGCTTCCCGTTCACGGTCGAGTTCAGTGTCAACCACGCGTTATCGGATGGCCAGTCGGCATCGCTTGGCAGACGGTAACAATCCTGGGCGCTTCCAAAGCGAGCAAGGAGTAGGGCTCCAAAGAGCGGAGCGTTGTCGATGAGCCTCATCTTGTCTTGAAAGTGCTTGATGGTAGTGATGAATACCAAGAGCCTTCACCCGACCCTCATATATAGCCATTGTTCCCCTTACTATCGTTTTCGCATTGCCACATGCTATTCTTCTCATCTCGGAGACCATCTCAAAGAAGAAGACTTAGAATATGTCTGCTTCCTCTGTAGGTTACAACGCCGACAGTGTCCACTTGAGACATTGTGCCACATGCCGATATCAATGCAAGGAATAGCCATGCACTGGGCTGGAAGCCGGCGAAAACCTCGTGCGGGAATCGATGGCCGCACGCGAGAATGACTTACTGCAGGGCAGAGTGGGCCAACCGATGAATGGGGGGGATTCGCCGGGTGGCCTAACGCTTGGGGGTGGACCCTCAACGACGGATTGCTCGCTAGGATTGAGATTCATGAAACCGTGGGATTCGTCCTCAGGCGACACAGTGTGGCGCCAGGAACCGGCGGGCGTGCAGATCTTGGCGGGCATTCTTCGTCTTGGAACGTTCGGAGGGAAGCTCATTTCGGCAGCCGTGCAGCGAACGAGATGTCTAGGTGCGCACTGAGCAGCTGTTATCGCTCCACGTGCTCGCCCGCCTCCAGACCTCTGCCATTGCGCCATGCTCATCATCGCCCTTTCTGTCACATATTCGAAAGTCTAAAATTATCCTCCGTTGGTCATGGATGGTGGATGTTGTTGTTCAGGTTTTACCGTGGTTTTCGGTTGGCGTTTGTGGCGTTCGCAAGCCCATGACACACCGGACCGCACCCCACATTACGCTGCACCGGCCTGAACAAGGCAAGACCCCTTTCTGGATGACATGCCGCCATCTCTGAAGGATGCTAGGTTCCGACCAGATATGCGCCAGCACTTCTTAACAAAGTTTGCGCTATTGGAATGCCATGGTCGGGTAGGCTTCTGCAGTCGGCACTTCATACCAATGACGGCAGCCACCATGGTAGCTACGACTCGTGGGTTTCAGTCCTGGGCCTTACAAGAGACGCACTATAAACCGCACGAGGGATCCCTGCGTTCATCATATTCGAGGATCACCTTCCGTTTAGAGGCGGAAGATAAATGGTGGAACCTGTCCCGCTGTCGCTTTACTTGAGACCTCCGCGATATCCTACGCACCCGTTACAAACTCGGGGGTCCGCCCATCTGTCTTCAACATTCGGATTGTCTTGCGCAAACGTGGCGTGAGAGCATCGACATGGCCTCTTTCATTCGCACATGCATGCTGTTGTGGCTCGTTACCATCTCCATGGTACATGCAGCACAGCAGCCTGCCCTGTCAAAGCTTCCCGCATGTGCTGTAAGTACCTTGCAGCCCAACTTCTTAACATTTCGCTCACCCTTGCAGCAACTGTGCCTCTTGAACGCTTTCGGTACGAACACCTGTTCTCCAACAGATCAAGCATGTATTTGCACGAACGATGTCTTCCAAAACAACGTAACGCTGTGTGTGAGCGCCAGCTGCACCATCCCTGAAGCTCTAGGTACTTGCACCTATCCCGACGGAAGAGAAAAAGAGGCTGACGAACATGAAGTTACGCGCAACATCAGCCTGACCACCTGCGGAGCCCCGGTACGGGATCGCGGACAAAGCTATGTGCTGTTGTCAAACGTCATGGTATGCATAGCTGCAGCCTTCGTTGCGATGCGTTTCACCTTCAAGGGCACCGTGTCGAGGATGGACTTTGGCTACGACGACTGGTGCGTGCTGGCGACACTCATAGCCGCTATACCCAGTGCCGTCATCACTGTTTTTGGCACTGTGAAGAATGGACTTGGCCAAGATCTCTGGACCCTGACCCCGACGGAGATCACTCAGATGCTGCAATATTTCTACATTATGGCCTGGCTCTACTTCACGCAGCTTATGCTGTTGAAACTCACGTTACTGTTCTTCTACATCCGCGTGTTCCCCAGCAAAGGCGTTCAACGACTACTATGGGGTACAATCGTCTTCACCATACTCTGGGGTGTCGCCTTCATCATCGTCGCGATATTTCAATGCCAGCCCATCCAGTACTTCTGGACAAAATGGGATGGCATGCACGAAGGTACTTGTCTCGAAATCAACGCCATCACTGCATCGAACGCGGCCATATCCATCGCCTTGGACTTCTGGATCCTGGGTGTACCTCTTTGGCAGCTTTGGGGCTTGAAGCTACACTGGAAGAAGAAGGTCGGTGTAGCGCTTATGTTCTGCGTTGGTACCTTCGTCACCGTCGTCAGCATCCTGCGTTTACAAGCCTTGGTTCACTTTGCCGCTTCCTCGAACGTGAGCTGGGAGTTTTACGACGTCTCGATGTGGAGCACGATTGAAATCTGTGTCGGCATCATGTGGTAAGCTCTATACTCGTACTCATATATCGCATCCATTAACGTTCCTACCAGCGCCTGCCTCCCGACCCTCCGTCTTCTCCTGGTCAGACTCTTCCCCATTCTGGGCGGCTCATCGGCACGCAGCCGTCAATACTACAACTACGGCAGCAACAACGAACTCAGGAACGTCAGTCAAAAGCACAAGTCGTACAACTTGAACACGGCTATATCGAGCCCTCGTTCAGAGTCGTTCGATACGAAAGTGGAAGACGGCATCAGAGTCAAGACATCATATCACGTGAAACACAGCCATAGTCAAGGAGACACAGATGAGGCTAGCTTGGTTAGCTATGAGGGAAAGCGGAGGCCATAGTTTTGCATCCGATATAGTAATGATCATGAGTATTTCGTACTACCTCACATTCCCCGCATGAACACATGTTACCTAGGTACTTTGACGACTGCGTCTACCGGTGCTGAAACCTATTCGAGACGAACTTTACCTTCAAACAGCCACTTGTCAAACGTAACTTTCCAGACGCGTGGTAACTGCCGTGATCGACAGGTGCTGAAGCACCCACCTCTCGCGATTTCGGTTGACCCATCAAAGGGTAACGCAGATCACCGGAGTATCACCGACATCCTCGTGGAAGATCGCACTAGTTCCACGTGTCGGCGATCTCTGTACGCGATTGCGACAAGGTCTAAACAGCGAACGGTCGGTGGCCTTATTCATTGCACAATCTAAGTATTACGATAATTTCCATCACGGCGACAGGTTCCGCAGATGGCGTCTCTCAGGCATCCCTTCAAGTGCTGCCGCCCCCACAACACGAATCATCCCGTATCCGCAATGATGGCAAACCCGGCCGAGCTGCGACGAGCTTTCGCGGTGGAATAAGACCGACGAGGCGTAAGTCTGCGATAGTTTGTGGTACGGCAGAGCTACGGGTCCGATGTGGGCCCGATCTCTGGGTACCTAGGTAGCCGATTGTCGGCTGTGCGCAGATGGAGGCTGTTAGCAACGACTACTTACTGCTAGCGATGGCACTTGTCTTCTGGAAGAAAGACTAGTCGAGGAGAGGATTACTCGAATTTAGCCTAGTTCATTTTCAACGTACACCACCGTATCGGCCGACTTACCAAGTTTTGTGGCTGATGGCACGTGCCCTGGAATTACGTTGCAGTGGCTGAAGTGGCCTTGGTGATGTCGCATTCAACGAGCAAGGCGCTTGCCGACGTTGCGCTCACAATTTCAGATCGAACGAAGACTTTGCGCTGCGAAAGCTGGAAACACGGAGATGCAAAACCCGGTCTCTGGCGTACCTAGTGCCGGGTGAGAATGTCGTCATCAAGATCGCAGCGGTGATTGTGCAATGCATTGCGTCTTTGAATAACGCCGAAAGTTTGCGCGCACGCATGCATGTCCTCAACTCGCACATCTAGCAATTGCGACTTGTCACGATGTGTCGGGCGATCAAGTATGATAGCCTCACGCGTAGGTCCAGCTCGTCTGCACTACCTAGGTAAGCGTCTGGAGTAACACGTTTCACGTGTCAACCAAACTTCATAACGCAGCTAAAGAACTTACAGGAAACTGCCGAAAGCATGTATCGCATGTCGGTATGACAGCGAGCCTAGAAGGAAGATCTTATCGGCTCCTACTTAGTGCGGCTCCCGCTCTCACATGACCTCGGGATTAAGAAATTGACTTTAACGACTGCCCCTCGACGCAGATCTCGTGGTATACGAACGCGACACTTCCAAGGTTTAGTAAAATCCTCAAAACTGAGCCCATACTACCGTTTGCAAATCCTGAAGATAGCGCTAACAACCGAGCGCCAGCAGTACTGGCATATGTCTTATGGTGTAGTATACGAAGATCAGCGATGATGTGGAAAGAGTAGACAGCACCAGACAACATGTAGGAAAGAAGTGATAAGAACTCGGAAAAGGAGCAGGCTTAGGGTACGTGGAAGGAACGCCGCACCTCGAACGAGATCTTTCTTCAGCCGGTAGAGAGGCTTTATCTCGGAGAGAAATTCGCTTTCGAGATACTGATGTTCTTAGAATGTTATCGCCGTCGTCGCGACCTAGCTGCTGAACTTCCTTGCATATTCCCAAGTCGCTGCGAACCCGCAATTTTCAGCTACGGCGTTTACTAAAGGGAAAAGAATGTTGCAAAGCTGCGCTCTAGGTATATTTGTAGTTACATAACATCTACGGCGACAGTGAGCACCACAAACACGCTCACCTTGCGTTTGCGTCTAGCCGTGTGCCGCTTTAGGCAGGTCTACTCTTCTCACTTTCATCGCAAAAAGTCATTTCCTTGCTGTTTTCTACTGCATTACCTTTCTACCCTTGGTATACAGCCCATTATACGCTCGCATCCAGCAACATGGCTCCATTGCGCACGCCATCACAGGAAGAATCGTTATCTACGACGGGTTCTTCTCTTACTGTCCGTCATGGGGTGCAGTCCACTCGTCCAACAGCCATCGCTCATGAACTCGTATGCATATCTTGCACGATCAGTTCTTATCAAAAGTTGCTAATGCTGCGCAGAACAAAACCTACTCGGATATTCGCGCCACTGCCGCCGTTTACAGTGGGCCTATCTCAAAGATGCAGGTCCAAATGAAAGAACTCGCAATTGAACACAGCAGACTATTCGAGGAGAAGGACGCAACTATCGCAGATCTAGAGCTTGAAGTCCACGAACTGAAAAGCCAGAACAAGGATCTCTCATGCAGTCTGAACAAAGAGGCCAACACTCGAAAAGTGGCGGTCGCAGGTATCGAAACTCTCACAAAACAGCATGAAATTTAAGGCAAGAATGTCATGAAGCTCAGCAGTAGGGTTGCCGAGCTCGGGAATGAGTTGGCTCAAGAGAAAGCCAAGCATACCGCAGATAAAGGCGCGAACGAGAAGTTGCGTAGTATCACGGAAAAGTGCGCCGAGATTGCAAGGCTTGTGGCGCAACACCCGTAGATGGAAATCTACCCGTGTTTAGGGAATGGCTGGATGGACAAAAGCGAGCTGCGAATCACAGAACCTGATGATGAGTACAAGGGTATGACTTCAGGTAGTCCCGGGCGGATTGCAATCTTAGGCATACAAGATACTGTTGGTTGGCGTATAGTTTGAAGCTCCAATCTCACCTTCACTTCTGCCTCCGCCATCATACCGCCATTGCAGACCCCGTCCACTCCGTTTGCAGCATCTCAACCTAACTTCTACCTTCCACTAGAGCTGCAGCCTAAACATGATCTCTCGTACCTCGTCTCCCGACAATATCGCAATCTCTCAGAAATGTCGAACAACCGCTCGCCCTCGTATGCGCAATGGTAGCGACAAGACAAAACAATCGCGGTCGCAATCCATCTTTTCGAGAGCTTTTCCCCCGTCGCAATATCCGCCCACCTACATCGACAAGCACCGTAAGTGAATGCAACAATACATAAAAGAAGCATGCTGATAAGCCACAAGCCACGTTCTACAGCACACGCTGCTGCCGCAAGATCGTCACTCACCGCGTTGGTCAAAGACCTAAGGGCGCAGGAACGGGAGGTTCTCAGTCTAAGCAGCGCGCTCGATAAAGAGCGGTTGGAGCATGAGAAGCACATTGAAGACCTAGAAACAACACACGCGAAAGAGATCGCGGCCGTCAATGAGCATCACGATCGCCATCTTGCGCAGATCGAAGTGCGTCACAGCGAAGAGCTCACGCGCGTCAAGTTGTGGTGTGTGATGAACCAACCAAGGCCAAACGAATTATCACGGGTTCGCGAAAGGCAGCGGAGGTCAACATTGGAAGCCGAAGTGGAGAAGACGAAAGAAGAGGCGAAGATGAGAGCTCTTTGGCAAGAGACTAGAATCCAGGAACTGGAGCGCGAAAACGACCATGTTAAGCATCAACTGGCAAACTCGCAGAGGGATTCACAATGGAAGAACTGGATGAAGACGATAATGTCATAATGCCTGCCCGTCCTCCCGGCGAGTGCCGACTCAAACCCCCGAAGGGGTGAGTCAAGGTCTCAAACCGGGAGGACTAAGACAAGAGTAAAAAGCTAGCTACAAGAAAGGAAACGTATACAAAACAAAGTACAACAAAAAACGATGCAGCGAATGCAGACCCATGGGTATCGTCGCGATAAACACCAAATCAAAACCAAAGCCAAACCAAAAACTCCAATGCTCAAAATTTTTGATGAGAGCCAAAACAAACGCCCAGTACCCAAGATGCATCTTCCCATGCTCTCGAGTTGTCGCTGAAAAACCAAATGCGCAACACCGTGTCGTGTGGAATCGTAAATGCGGAGTCGTGTCTTTTTCTTCTTCCCCTTCTAGTCGATGGAGTATTCTAGAATTATACCGCAATGAAGGACAAGTCGTCGTAATCATCAGAGAGCATGGACAGGTGGACGAAGTCCTCCTCGGCTTGCTCCAAAGCCACCTTATGACTGTGTGCGCGCTCCTCCCAGCCTAGGCTGATGCCACTGAGTTCGATAGCCGACATCTTAGGTCGGCCAGTACCATGTGCGTTCGAGATTTGATATGTTGGGTTCTCCTCGAGCACTGGGCTTGATGGCTCAAAAACGAGGAATTCATCATCGTCATCGAGGTAAAGCCTCTCATAGCATTTCCTCCAATTTCTGTCGACATGCTTGTAGGTGTCCAGACTGATCAACGTCTGGCGCACGTTCCATTTGAATGCCCAGCTGTTTTCGCGCTTGCGCAGCCAATGGTTCTCATTGTCGAGGGCTTCGAGCATAGTCCTGAGCTTGCTGGGATGAGCGAGCGGGTCGTCCTCTTCCCGAGGTTGCTCGACTGGAGCGGCAATGGTCTCCATGGCGTGTCCTGCGTCGTTTTGCGCATGCTCGTCGGCATTGGCCAGGCGCTCTCTCAAAACCTCAATCTCCATCATCTGGGATCGATTCAGAGCCTGAAGATCCATGATCTTATCATGACGTGTCGTGAGCTCTTCTTGGAGAGCCTCGAGACCTTCGGTCTTGCTGGTAGCGTCCTTGATCTTGGCCATCAAGTGCTCAATCTCCAATTCTTTGGTGGCGATGACTTGCTCTCGCTCGTGAATCTTCAGAACGGTTGCACGATGCTCGACGGTAAGAGTTTGTAACTGGCGCACAGCCTCGTCGTCCTTCTTCCGTCCCGCCTCAACCTCCTTCGCCTTCTGAGCCCAGGGCGTAGGTCCGTGCTCGATCTCGATGGCTTTTGATAGTATGCCGGCTTGGTCGGCCCAGGAATTCAGATGGTAAGTGATGGTGTTCAGGTGGGCAAACATGAAAGCATAATTCTGATCGACATCGAGATTATCGATGTTGTCTTTGATCGCGCGAAGCTCAAGAGCAGGGACTGGCTCGGTGTCGGATAGGCTGGTGCACTTCGCAACCTCCTCGATCAGGCTGCGAACGAAAGCGGCAAGGGTTCCAGCAGCCGATGCCAGCTTTTCGTCGTATCTGAAAGCGTCCTCGAAATCAGATGGTCGTTCCGGAAACATATTATCCTGAACCAGAGCCTTCAGAGTCCGTTGCAACCTGGCCGCAGCCGTGGATGTAGCCTGCAAAGTATCGACTGGCTCGTTGAAATGAATGAGCATCTTTGCGCACTCTTCGCGTATGCTCTCGGGCACTTTCTCTAGGACGAAGTGTGCCAGATCGTAGATGTAGAGGATATAGTTTATCCTCGCGTGGAGCGAAGTCGCTATGGAGAGGAATTCTCCCTCTGGTCGTGCAGCAAGGACCTCTTGGTGGCTTGACAGAATTGCTTCATGTGTCTTGGTCGATCGCTCCAAGGACCCAGCAAATTCTTCAAAGTTGAGTGTGTCTGCTTTGAGAGCGTTGAGGCCTTGATCAAGAACCTGCTCTACCGAGATCAATTCTTGGTACGTCGGGCCAAAATTGGCGAATTCGGGAAGTGATAAGCCACGAATGGCAGACCAAAGACGGTTGCTTCCGTCTTTAAGGACCTCCAGGTGAACAATGGACTCTTCACAGACGAGTCTGGAGACGGCATCGTCCAATCGACCGCCATTGCTCATGTGACGACAGGTGCTCCTCAACACATTGACAAGCAGCTTGGATTTCCCAGCGATCCTTTCTGTTGCGAGGTAGGCTTGGAGAGACTCGCTTCGAGTGAACTCCTTGGACTCTGTCTCGTTCCAAATCTCGAGCTTTTCAGCAAGCTGATCTGCCTTGAGCGATACCAGCGAAGACTCAATCTCTCGTGTGGTCGACAACACAGTGGCTGCACGAAGTTGGCGGTTAAGGTCCATCACTTCGTTGAAGCGACCGGTGGTATCCTTGACTTGGGCTTCCGTCATAGTCTTGGAAGACTCAGCGTCGGCCATTTTGGTTTGTAGGTCCATGACGAGGTCTCGGAATTTGGAGATCAGAGACTCTTGGTCGGCGATGATGTGGGTCTGTTCGGTAATCTGGCGTACTTGCTCAGCGAGCTCGTTGTTCTTAGCGTCAAGCTCTGCAAGCATGTCCTCTTCTTGCTCAAGGTGTTGAGCTTCTAGCTCGTCGTTGAGTTCCCGTAGGTTCTCAAGATCTTGTACGACCAGATCTTGCTCCGCGATTCTATCTTGGAGATTCTGGTTTTGTTGGGTCAACTCCTCGACCATCTCCTCCCATTCATTGGCAGCGTCCAACTGCTGTTTCAGGTGGTCGACAAGATTTTCGGATACAGAGAGACGTTCTTGGAGATTGGCATTGTCTTGTCGGTAGTACTCAAGTTGTGCGACGTCGCCCTCGAGCCCGAGAATGTGTGCCTTGAAGTCTTGTTCCCGCTCCTCTGTCATCTCTTTCAGAGTGATCAACGCCTGTCGCATGCGATCATTCTCGTGTTGGAGACGGTAGTATCCAGCCTCTTGCTTCTGATCCTCTGACATTTCTGTTGTGAAGAGATCGGCCTCATCGCGAAGAATGTCAAGCTCCAGCGTCTGTTCTTCCAGGCGTTTGCGCAACGACTCGATTTCTGCCTCGGCTTGATCCGCCCTCTCCTCGGCCATCTCCTTGTCCACCAAGGCATCCTCCAAGTCCACCTCGTGGTCCTGGTGTGATCTGTTGAGAGCCTGTTGTTCCAACTGAAGTGTGTTCACTCTATCTTTCAGCTCTTGTATCTCGGTGTATTGAGCTTGACACTTGTTCTGGAGCCGCTGGATGATGCCGCTGTAGCGCTCTTTCTCGTCGCGAACCTGAGCATACTCTCTCAGGCGCTCTTGGTCTTCCGCGTGTTGCTTCTCGAGATGCCTAATCTTGGTGTGCAGATTGTCGACGTTGTTATCCCGACTTGCTTTGCCAGCATTGCTTGTGACTGAAGATGCAAGACTCGGTCTTGAGGTTGATGGTGTAGGACGAGAGGGTTCGGGACGAGAAGGTTCTGGGCGGGAGGATTCGGGTCGAGAGAATGGGGCGCGAGATGATTCAGCGGCAGAGTTGCTTGACGTGCTCGCCACGCTGGCCTTGCGGACTGGGCCACGCGAAGGCGGTTGTGATGTTGAGGGAGCTGCGACTGACTGCCGCTTGCTCAATGTGGTTGTCCTTGTAGTGGTTGTAGGCTTAGGGGCAACCACGCTTGATGGGCGGGCTCTGGGTGTGGTGGGTGGTGCCTTTGTTTTGGAGACCGCTCGTGGAGTAGGAGGAGCCGGTGCGGGGGCTGCCTCAGAGAGGATGCTGACAATGCTAGTGTCGCGGATGAACAGCCCGTGGAGAGGTGCGCAAGTGAAGTAACGCTCTCCGCGTACGGAGCCATCGTTCTTGCCATCAGCAGTTGGGAGTTCTATTCCCACAAATCGCCCCTCTGAGACGTGAATGGGGCCTAGGTAGCGGACGATGCCGTCTACACCGCCAGAAGTCTCGACCGTCTGGCCGAGCTTGAGATTGAGGGTAGTCATGGCTACTGGAGACTACCCAGAAGCAATGCTGAGAGTGTGGAGAGAAGCAGTGGCAGACAGCGTGGTGACTGAGTGC